CCATCCATCCATCTATCATCTATCTATCCATCCATCCATCCATCCATCCATCCATCCATCCATCCATCCATCCTGCGAGTCCCTTGGACTGCAAGGCCATCCAACCGGTCAGTCCTAGAGATCAACCCTGACTGCTCTTTAGAAGGCCAGATCCTGAAGAGGAAACTCAAATCCTTTGGCCTTTGAGAAGGAAGGACTCCCTGGAGAAGAGCCTCATGCTGGGAACGATGGAGGGCAAAAGAAGAAGGGGACTTCTATCTATCTATCTGTCTGACTGACTGCCTACCTATCTATCAACTTACCTATCTACCTACCTATACAAGTATCTATCTATCTATCTATCTATCATCTATCTATCTATCCTCTATATCTATCTGTCTGTCTGTCTGTCTGTCTGTCTGTCTATCGTCTGTCTGTCTATCTATCTATCCATCTATTTATCTATCCATCCTGTGAGTCCCTTGGACTGCAAGGCCATCCAACCGGTCAGTCCTAGAGATCAACCCTGACTGCTCTTTAGAAGGCCAGATCCTGAAGAGGAAACTCAAATCCTTTGGCCTTTGAGAAGGAAGGACTCCCTGGAGAAGAGCCTCATGCTGGGAACGATGGAGGGCAAAAGAAGAAGGGGACTTATTCTATCTATCTGTCTGACTGACTGCCTACCTATCTATCAACTTACCTATCTACCTACCTATACAAGTATCTATCTATCTATCTATCTATCATCTATCTATCTATCCTCTATATCTATCTGTCTGTCTGTCTGTCTGTCTGTCTGTCTATCGTCTGTCTGTCTATCTATCTATCCATCTATTTATCTATCCATCCTGCGAGTCCCGTGGACTGCAAGGCCATCCAACCAGTCAGTCCTAGAGGAGATCAACCCAGGCTGCTCTTTAGAAGGCCAGATCCTGAAGAGGAAACTCAAATCCTTTGGCCTTTGAGAAGGAAGGACTCCCTGGAGAAGAGCCTCATGCTGGGAAAGATGGAGGGCAAAAGAAGAAGGGATAGCAGAGAAGGAGGTGGCTGGATGATGTCATCAAAGCAGTTGGCCTGAGCTTAGATGGACTCCAGAGGCTGGGAGAGGACAGGAAGGCCTGGAGGAGCGTTGTCCAGGGGGTCACGATGGGTCGGACACTGCTTTGCAACTAACAACAACAAATCAGGCTGGCCTCCAGAAGTCATGGGTGCTCCATCACTGGAAGACATTGGACAGCTTTTTGTCCAGAATGGTAGAGGGTCTCCTGCTTGAGCAGTGGGTTAGACTAGATGACCTCCAAGATCCCTTCCAACCCTGTCATCCTGTTAATTAATCAGGGGAATGGCTTGCTTCAGAAGTTATTGGTGCTCCATCACTGGAAGTCTTCAAGAAGACACTGGGACAGCCCTTTGTCCAGAATGGTAGAGAGTCTCCTGCTTCAGCAGGGGAATGGACTAGATGACCGCTAAGGTCTCATCCAACCCTGTTATTGTATGTTGTATAATGGGGGGGAACAACGTTCCAGATTTTCATAGAGTTGACAGTGATATCCAAAACGTTGCTGGAACCACAGCTTAGTTCAGTAATGGGATCCAACTGCCATCATGGACACAGAGACGCTGTCCATGGTACTGAATCGGCCGATGGATCAGATCCAGTTTCCATATGAAATAATTGGTTCTGTTTGTGAGAATATCTGGTTCTTTGGTTTACTTTGCTCACAACATCACAGGCCACCTCGGTCTATCGTCACATTTCCAATCTGGTGCTGAGACATTATTATTTGCTATCATTTGTAAGCTGCTTTAATCTAAAGGACCCTCTACCATTTTTCAACCTGACCAACTTGAAGATGGGTGGACTAGTCCAACCCATTGCCCAAGCAGGAGACCCTACACTGTTTCTGACAGAGGGCAGTCCAGTCTCTTCTTAAAAGCTTCCAGGGATGAAGCTCCCACAACTTCTCTCGGCCATCATGCTTTAAGAAGGATGGACTTCAACTCCCAGAATCCCCCAGCCTGCATGTTTAAAGAGGGGTAGACTTCAACTCCCAGAATCTCTCAGCCATCATGCTTTAAGATGGATAGACTTCAACTCCCAGAGTTCCCCAGCCAGCATGATTTAAGATAGATGGACTTCAACTTCCAGCATGTAGGCTGGGGAATTCTGGGAGTTGAAGTCCACCACCTCTTAAAGCATGCTGACTGGGGGATTCTGGGAGTGGAAGTCCACCCCTCTTAAAGCATGCCGGCTGGGGGATTCTGGGAGTGGAAGTCCACCCCTCTTAAAGCATGTTGACTGGGGGATTCTGGGAGTTGAAGCCACCCCTCTTAAAGCATGCCGACTGGGGGATTCTGGGAGTTGAAGTCCACCCCTCTTAAAGCATGTTGACTGGGGGATTCTAAAATTTAAAGCTTCTTGAGCATGAGGCAGAAAACCAGAAAGGTTTCCCAAAAACCTTTGAATTCTTGTATTGCATTACTCAGACCCAAAGTTTTTCTCACCTTGAGGGATGAAGATGTTGGCCAGGATCGTTAACCCAGCCAAGATGAGGGCAACAGCTTGGGTAAACCTGCGCCCGATGTAGCTGATTGTGAGAACCGAAATAAACTTAGCTGGGAAGTCAACAGCTCCGAAAAAGAGTTGGATCAGGTAGATGTTACCGCCGAAATTCTGCAAGTCCATCACCAGCCCATAATAAGCGAAACTGGTGGAGAACCTTGGAAGGGGAACAAAGGAAAACAAAAATGAATAAATAACACAATGAATAGAATAGAATAGAAAAAATAGAATAGAGTAGAAAAAACAGAATACAATAAAAAAAAACCATATAAGTAAATAAAAATAAAAATGTAAAGTTAAATATGCAATAATGAAACAGAAATAATGAAATAAAAAATCAAATAATCAAATAATTAAATAAAAATAATTGAATAAAGAATTAAATAAAATTAAATAGAACTAATAAACTAACATAACGTAAATTATATTATAGAATAGAATAAAACAAAACAAATAAATGTAAATAAAAATGTAAAATAAAATATGCAATAATGAAATATAAATAAAATAGAATTAAAATATATAATATAAAACAAAATAATAAAACATAAAGTAAAATAATAAAATATAAAATAATAAAATAAAAATAGTTGAATAAAAAATTAAATAAAATTAAATAGAACTAATAAACTAACATAATGTAAATTATGTTAGAATAGAATAGAATAAAATGAAACAACATAAATAAGAATAAAAATGTAAAATAAAATATTCAATAATGAAATATAAATAATAAAATAAAATGTAAAATATTTAATGTAAAATAAAATAATAAAAAATAAAGTAAAGTAATCAAATATAAAATAATTAAATAAAAATAGTTGAATAAAAAATTAAATAAAATTAAATAGAACTAATAAACTAACAACATAAATTAGAATAGAATAGAATAATAAAACAACATAAATTAGAATAAAAATGTAAAATAAAATATGCAACAATGGAACATAAATAATAAAATAAAATGTAAAATGTATAACATAAAATAAAATAATCAAACAAAAAGTAAAATAATAAAATACAAAAAGTAAAATAATAATATACAAAAAGTAAAATAATAATATACAAAATAATTAAATAAAAATAACTGAATAAAAAATAAAAATTCAATTCAACTCAATGCCAGCTCAAGCAAAGTGGATGGAGAGAGGTTTATTTTTCTTTTCCCCAGAGCTCACCAGACAAAGCAGACGCAGAGAGAAATCCGGCGCATGGTCGGAGTCCGGACCAGATCGAGAACCGAAACCTTGGACGTCATGGAGGCCAATTCCTCCTTCATCTTGGATCTCAGAAACTGGAGGTGGGGGCGGGGGGGGGGGGGAGTGAAACAGGATACATTTCAATGCTTGGTTGAGTTTTTCAATCTGCGGGTGCTTTTTAATAGTGTGCAAAGAGCCACACCCAAAAACCTGGTCCGAGGCACCAGTAGTCCTCAACTTACGACAGATCGCTTAGCAAACGTTCGAAGTTACAATGGACTCCCCCCCCCCCTCCCAAAATGACCTACCACTTAGCTTTGAAGTTTGGATATTGCCCCTCCCTCCCCGGCTCTTGGGGAGCGTGTCATGTGACCACATATTGGCCTCTTCAACAACCGCCTGGGATTTAACGGCTATTCGCAGTACCTTGCTGCGAGCCGAGGTAGCGCAGTGGTTAGGGTGCAGTACTGCAGGCCACTTCAGCTGACTGTTATCTGCAGTTCGGCGGTTCAAATC